GCAGCTTCTTGCTACATTTATTTTCTCAAGGAAGAAATTAATTTTTTTAAAGTTAAGTAATACTTTGCAACAGTCTGGTTTGAACTGGTTTTTGGATGCTGACAACACAAGGAGAACCTCCTTTTTTTTTTTTTTTTTTTTTTTTACCCCTTGAAGATTTGTGATGTGCAAGTCTACAAGACCAACAATTACAGGACCCATTTTCAAACAACACCAGGCAAAAATACAGCTGTTGGCAGCTTCTTTTTCTGTCTAAAAATTAAATCATTATGAGATAATAGATTCCTTATGTGAACTTCAGACTCATGACTGGACCTTCTTTTGCTTGGAGAATGTCACAAAGCAGTGGTCTGAGGAGAGAAAAAGGACTATCTACTCTGGCCTTCCAAAACTAGTTGGCAGCTCTTCATCTTGGGAAAGGATGGGGAGGAAAAGAGTGGAGGATTGTTTTGAAGGTCAGGAGAATAATCAGTGTTCTGGAAAAGCATACTAAAGAAAGTCTTACTTTTCATAGCAGAAGTTATGGAAAGCACTCAACGATTGATTGGCTGAAAGCAAATGGAGTAACTCTTTAAAATGTACAAAATTGTGGCATTCATTGCCAGATAGCTAAAATTACTTCATCAGAGCTGAGATGTACTGTAAAAAATATGTGGTTAATTAGTGATTCTAAAACATAGTGGTACAAAAGGTCTCTGGTTCAGGGAGCTTGTGTACAGATGACTACTAATAATTAGAGTTACTTGTCCACTGTTTTGTACGTCTTTTTGCTGAACATCTGATAATGAAGAAAAATACCAAATTAGATAGAATCTTAATGTTTTCAGCACCCAATATAGATTATAGTTGATTTAAAGGGGCTTTTTTTGAGCAGCCTGTGGAATAGTGTCTTGATAGTTCACAGTTCTGCTTATGAACAATGTAAAATATTTTGAGAATGTTTTTGTTGAAATGTAGATTCTGAATGTCACAATATTGCCTGTACTAGTTTCTCTCACTTTACATAATATTCCAGCAGTCACATTCTGTTTTATGTTTGGCATTTTGCATGCATAGTGGACTGGTATGCAGAAAATGAGGATGTTAATAATTCATCTTGTCTTATGACTGCACAAATGTTAGACATAGGGAGCTGTTTGGTGTAAGACACCAGGATATAACAAGTACACTTGTGTTTAACAGATTGAGTTTGCAGGAAAGCTTTTGGGGTTTTGTTTCATTTGAGTTTTTTATTTTCAAGCGACTTGCTGACTTTGAAACTTCATGTAGTGTGATATAATGATGGGTAAGTAGCCAGCATCTTGTAGAGGACAGAGAAGGAAAAAGTCTCAAGGAATGTCAGGCCAGACATTTATGTCAGGTCATATGAATCTGCTGGACTTTTTAAAAGGCTAGGCTCACATTAACTGAGTGTGCAAGCAGAGGTTGCGGGGGGAAAGTGCTTTTAAATGAAGAGATGAAGAGATGGGAAAAGTCTCTTTTAGCTCATTAAAAATATGAGATTGTCCTTGTGATTTGCATCTCAAATTGAAATTATCTTTTTTCCCCAATTGAAGTAGAAACGGATTGTCCTGGAGGATAAGTTAGAAAAGTTTGATAGCTGGTTCTGTAGAAAATCTTGTGAGTTGCAGTTGTACCGAGGCCTTACAGTGAACTCTAATATACCAGGTTTAATCCTAAGAAATTAAAAAATTCACTAGTCTTAGAAATAATGAATTTTATATGTTCCCCAGCTTCAGTTTCTTCAGCATTCTGAGCTGAAATCAAAGTCCTTTGTACGTACTTTAAACTGCTAGCCCTATATAGCTTGTGATTTTTCTTCTGAGCTCAAGAGCCCCTTGAACTCTATCTGGCCTTGGCTGATTCTGTGATTGAACTTTGCTTTGAGCAAAAGTGTTTTTCCTTCCTTGCTTCTGATCTTTGTTATTGTGAAAGTCTGGATGTATATGTACCCTGTTTAAGTTCATTTGTTTGGCTGGGGTTTTTATTAAGTCCAGCAGCTTGAAAATTGCAACAGGTGAATGAGAGAAGCTGCTTTTGTCTTTCTGAATCCTATTTTGTGTATGTGTGGACATTGAACATGTGTGTAGGTATTAATTGTAGTGGGGATTTTCCTTTACTGATAGCAATATAAGTCTGACCCAACTACGACTGCTTTAATAAGGGGTGCACAAAGCTATAAAAAGATGCAGATTGTGTTTTCCCCTTGTGGTTTGGCTGAGTCTGAAATGATCCTGGATTTTGTTTGAAATTTATTTTGTATCATAAGTTTGGTTTTGATTTTTTTGTTGATTGTTTGTTCTGGAGTTTTTTTTAATTCCTTTTTGGCTAGGCTTCTTCAACATATTCAGGGACCATTATTTAGCAGTTATTTAAATTTGGCATTGCTGCTGGGCTGGCAGTCAGTCAGGCTTCAACCCTCCCATCAGGTTGAGTGCCCTGATCTTTCTTAGTCATCTTTCTTTTGATGTGTTGGAAAAGTATCTTGCTTTTGGTTTTAACAAGCTATTGTTTCTTGTTTTGGCTTGCCACCTTATGTGGTTATGTTTTAACTTGTCCATCTCCTCTGTTTCCCTTGAGAGAATACTTCAGTTTCTTTTGTTTCATTAAAGTCTCTTTATTTGAATTGCCACATTTAATCAGTTTTAATGACACTATTTTTTTTTGTCCTTTCAGAATTTAAGTGCCTTACCACTTCTTTTGGTTCCTTAATATGTCTAACAGAGGAACACTTTCAGTTTCCTAACTTACTTTTAGCAAACTTCCCCTATTGCATGTAGGTCCCCTGTGCTTCAGCTGATCACCTGTACATTCCTGTGTTTCTCTTGCATGGTATATCTGGCATGGCCTGGAGAACTGATGAATTTTGGTGTAATGTGCTTGGTTGGGCTAGATCTTTGTTTATTGCCTCATTCTTTTATGGAACTGCTCTGGGTAGTACTGCCTGTAGCAGGCTGGAGAGAGTTGGCATGGATGTCTGTAGGGATGATCGAGAGCACAGATGATACAAAAGAGGGAAGTAATCTCAGCTGGCTGGATAGACTCTACTTCTTTCATCCACTCCTTTTTCTTCTTTTGAGGAAAATTGATTTTGGATTGTAAAATACCAGTGATTTCATCTTCATCTTGTATAATACAACACTATATTGAATACTATAATGCAAAAGTCTTGACATGCTCACAATACCTGACCTCTGAGTCAGTTTGAACTTGGAAATGGATTTAAATCCACATGGCATGGGGGAGTTCTTCTTCTGTGTTTTACACACTTGTTGCTATGTTAACTGTAAGTCTGTGGGGTGAGGTAGGGTATCACAAGAATCTGGTCCATTCCATTAAGGTGGTTTACTGATTTAGAAGTACTGCTGGAACACTTCATAGGAGGAGTGGACTGATGAAACAAGAACAGATGAAGCAAGAAAATTTTGGAGGAACTGGATTTAATTGCTTAGATCAACAGTATGAGGCAATTTAATCTTCAACACTCTGCTTTTAAGATGATTTTTCTAAGTACCTAAATCACTTGGTTTAGTTGGCTTTGTCCTTTTTTCCTTTCTCTCTGTTGTTCCTTCTTAGGAAGGGGAAGGCTATTCAGCCAAGATCACTACCTTCTAATTCCTTGTTTTGTACATAAATAGCTTATAAATACGATCTATTTTTTTACCGTATTTGGCACTTTTGAACTTGAATATTTATTCGTGAGGTGTTCTTTCTGAATGTTTGAATTTCTCAGCCTTAAAGAGAGAAACCCTGGTCAATACCTTTTAAGGTTTAGTACATGTCCTATATATCAGAATTCCTGAAGTTTGATAATTAACTGGTGGACAGAAGAGAACTGGCTTGTTATTTACCTTGGTATTCAAAGGCCTTAGAGATTCTGAGGAAGAGACTGTTTGACAGAAATTTTTTGCATAAGAGGTAACTGCCATACAGATCAAATTGTTTATAATAAAGCATAGAATTGAATGCAGTTTTCATCAAAGCCAAAATTAATGTGGCAGGCCTCAGGGTTTTGCATCAATCTTTCCATTAGTGTACATTAACTTCACATATGAAAAAGGTGGTTAGCAGTAAGGTAGACAAACTGTAGATGAAAAGAATGAAGATAAGTAAATTTTAAAAAATTGTCAAGATTTCATCAAACTACAAAAGGCGACATAAAGGAGATAATGCTCCTTACTACAATAAGTAAAATCAAGTATAATAAAAAATGTAGCAGGTGAGTAGCTTATATGGAGCTGTGTTGGCTTTCTAAATTGCATCTCATGTTTGTATGCTGGATTCTTAAAGGCCTCTTTCACTCCTCAGTGTCTTTCTCTCAACTTTGCCACAGCAAATGCAGGGCAGCTACAATATCAGGATTTCCATCAATTACCTTTTGGTGCTACAATTACAACAGAGCGTCAAGTTAGAAGTGAAGCAAAAACCAATACTGAATTGTTTGGTGTATAAAGGCTTGGGAGCATTTTTTTCCTACCTTTCTTATGTTGTACATTTAAAAATAACTTGTTTGCTTTGAGTTTAACTCCACTTGTTTTTGTATGTTGTGTTCTAGCTGTTCTTTAATGAGAAATGTTGCCTTTTGTATAATATTAATATTAGCTGAAGGTAATAGCTGTTCTGCTCAGGTGATTGCACTAACACATTAATAAATCAATAATGAAAATGTTAGACACAGTTGTTAATAAATATATATTTGTGTTCTAAATTGAAAATTTTCAAACCCTAGTTATTCATTTATATGAAATTTATGTCTGTGAAAGTCCATGCAATACCTAATTTTTGCCTTGTGTTCTTGCATATTTTCATGGATTCAGTCAAAGGAGATGCTCTGCAACAGATCATTCTCTCTATGTAAACTTACTTTTATGGGCTCTTCCGTATAATTTTTCAGGATGGAGAGCATAATTGTTGCAGGATTTCTTGCTGTGAAAAAAGTGATTTTTCTGGTCAGTTTTCTTAAAGTGTCTTATTTACAGTGTTTCTTTGGTTTATTCAAGGGCATTGGGAGTTCCAGTGACAGACTACACATTTGAAGACTGTCAGCTGGCTTTGGCTGAAGGACAGCTTCGTCTGCCTTCAGATACGTGTCTTCTAGAATTTGCAAAGCTTGTGAGAAGCCTTGGGTGAGCATATACAATATTTATCTGTAAGGTGCATCTTTATTATATATGTTTATACAGTTTTCCCATCATATAATAATATTGCATTCATGAGTATGTATGGAATATTGTAATCATACAATCAGGAAAACACCAGTATAAAATTAAAACAGTATTGTACTTCATTGCAAGCAGCACCTCTGAATCTTAGTGAGTAGACTAGGTTGAAAAGTTATTTTCCATCTGAAAAGTGAGAAGAGTGAGTCTGAAGCCTTCATTCCTGAGCTAGAAGACACTTTCTGAAGAGGATCAGGAATACTGTGGGATTCCTACTATTTGATACAGTTAAGAGTCAATTGGCTTTTCCGTGACATCTGTGGAGGGGAAACAAGTGCTGCCAATAGCAATCTTGTGACTGGATTAACCTTGTAATAGTGAGGACAGAGGGGTCACCCTTTCCCAAGAAGGACAAGGTAGTAGTTGATCTTTTGAGCAGGTCACTGCCACAGATGGATTTTCTAATGCAGCTGTAGGTCAGTGCATGCAGTGTGGTCCTCTCTTCTTTCTTCCCATAGTGCCATTTCCTGCTGGCTTTTCAAAGCCAGCAAACTTGAAACATTTGCATAAACCATGTAGTAGAATTTGCTGCTGTCTTCCAATTTTTCTTCTACTTCTCCAGTGATCTTATTGAGCGACCATTAAATAAATGTATGGCCTCATCCTATTAACTCTCAATATGCAAACACCCTTTTTCATTTGCTTGTCTCATCACCTCAAAGTACAGAGCATAGTCTAATGTTTCCATTGTGTATTTTATTTTCTTTCACTAATTTTTCCTTCATCTTCAGCTTTTGTGTGCATAAATGAAAGCAAAGAAGAAAAGCTCTGTTGGAGAATAAGGAATGTAGGACAGCACACATCATGAATTCAGATGACAAGCATATGTTAATCTATTGTCAGGACTTCTATCTGAAAGACTTCCATTAGGATAGAAAAGACTTCTAAGGGAAAAGAAAGATTCTCACTTTTTTTAAAAGGCTCTGAATTTACAGTACTAAGGAAGAAAAACAAGCAAAACAAAACAAAACAACCACGTCTCTTATTATGCAGTTGATAATCCCAGGATTCAGTTTAATCCTCTTGTTGTCTGGCTTCTGTCTGCTCAATATAAAGCTGTTCCTTCAAACTATGCTTTTCTAGGGTTTTGTTTTTGGTCTCTGAAACAATTACATGCATTTGTGAGTGAGGTTCACAGCAGCCCAGAACCTCTCTCTCTGGTATGAGCATTATTGGTGAAATATAATCCTCTCTGAATTTGGGCATGTGCCAATAAGAAGGATATTATGATGGTATTTTTCTGGCACAATTGGATGAAGATTGTAATATGACTTCATCTCTAATGCATGTTTGATAATAATGTAGTCATTTTGCTGTTTATTCAAAGGTTTTGAGGCCAGGGAGGCATTAAGATCATCCACTAGCATCCCTAAATAACTGGAACAACAAATTTTATCCAATGGATTTTTCATCCAGTCTTAATACTTGTTTTTGAGCAGTGACATACTTTAGAGGTAACATCCAGTTTTAAGATTCCTATAGTAAGGCAAATTCAGATGTAGATTTTTTGAAATCAACTTATACCTCTGTTTGCTGTACTGAAGAATTACTTCTGTGCACATTATGTGTTTACAGGATTCATTATCACTGTCTGTAAAATTTGCTTAGCCTGTGTTCAGCTGGATGGGATCCTGTCCAGAATCCATGCAGACACAGCAGTGAGTTCTCATGCTTCATCTAAGAGCTCAAGCTCTGTTAACAGGGCTGTGCAGCTGGCTTGTACTCAACTCTGTGATAAAATGGCTGCTTTATCAATGAGATCAATTGATCATAGACTTAACTTTGCAAATTGTGCATTCATTACCCTTCAAGGAGTCATGTTTCTCTTCAGTCTGATAATTTGTCTGACCAACGAGCTAATTGCTAAACTATGTGCAGTCTATATTATAGCTTTCATATTTTTGTCGTGTGTTTTAAATTCTCTGCTTCATTTGATGATTTATTCTGTAATTCATTATGCCACTGTTGAAAGTGAATCTCTATTTTTACTTGAACTGGATCTATTGCCACGTTCTGGACACTGAATCTTGTTTGGATTTTGCACCTTACTAAAGACCTCTTTGGATATCTTCTCCTTCAGGAAGCGTTAATACAGTTAATTAAGTCTAGTCTCTGTCTTTTTATGAGATACTTCTTAAGAGCTGCTTTAGGGTAGTTACTTGAGTTCTGATTTGAATTTATTTGCTCCTATTGTTTCAAGCTTCTGTTTGTTCTAATTCTCAATATTACTTCATTAAATTGACCATGAGGATCCTTTTAGTCAATGCAGCTGTAGGCTACCAAGATTTGCAAGGACCTCAGGCCTGGTGCCTGTCTATTCTTGCTCAATAGTCTCTACTATCCAGACTACAGTGCAGACTTCTGCTCTCCATGTGTGCCTGAAATGGTGGTCCAGACTGTAGGGGTAGAACTTTGTGTCCCCAGAGTAATTACCCTCACAGCCACCTACCTGTGCTGTGACTTAAGAGTGCTCAGAGATATCATCTATAACAAGGAAAAAACCTCTGGAGAATGTCTACCATCTGCATTTGTGATAAAAGCAATGCTCTCCACTACAGGAGGTGATCATGGATCAGGCATGGCAGTAAATGCAAACCATGGTAGCCTCTGCTTTTGTGGATCAAGGCAGGGTGTGCCAAAAGTATTCAAGAAGGTCAGTTTTTCAGTTTTTCAGTATACTTGCTCTATGATGGCAAGAAGTTGCAGAGAAATACATCAGCAGACGTAAAACTCAATGTATAGTGCTTTTCTGGCTTAAGGCATGGTTGTCTCTGTGCTTTCAGTTTACAGTAGCTGGCTGCAAGAGCCAGCTGTTTTTCCAGCTGTCTGAGACACTGGAAGGTTTTTTGCAGGTTCCCAGCATGCAAGAAATAAGCTTGTTATCAAATAGTCAAATATAGCTAAGACTAGCTTACTTGCTAAAAATAGTGATAATTATTCTGTAAAATATTCTACCTTCAGGGATCTGGTTTTCCTTGTGAAGTCTGCTGTGAAGAATTTTATGTTCAGAACTGTTAATCTTGAAAAATGTCCTTTTCATCTTCATGGACTTAGGAATACTTCTTGTTCTCTTTAGTGTGCACTGACCTAAAAAATGAAGCAATGCACCACAACAGCAAAAAATTTTATTTATCATAAAGCCTAGATCCTGCATGGAAGCTTAAGACAACAAGCATGATTTCATGAGGGAAGACATTTGCTGTTGGCTTTCTATAATTTATTGCCTCCATGGGGGATAAAAGTAACAGTCGTCAAGGAATTGGGACATTGAAACCTTTTCACATTGGTTCAAAACCTATTATGAGATTGGCATTTGGCTTCTGAAGATTTTAGTTTAGCAGTTTATGAACATGAACATATTAATTACTTTCTGGTTTTGAAGAGCTAGAGGGAAGTGAGCCCACCTTGGATTACCAGAAGTACAATGCAGTCATACTCAAGTGGAAGCAGTTTGCCTCACTGATCCACGTACTGCTTTTGAGATTGCCTCACATCTTTCTATATTTACAAAACATAAACCACAAGATGCCTGTAAGGTTTATTGTGAGCTGTGTTACTTCCTGTACAATATTTTGCCTTCAAACTTCTATAGCTTTTCAGGCTTAATTACTGGTGAAGAAGGGATCTTGTAAGTCTTAGTGTTGCTCACCAAATGAGTGCTCTCTCAGTTCTAGAAGGTGAATTTTGAGACAATTCATTGCAAACAAAATCTCTCTGATTTTGAGACAAATGTTGCAGTACATATTGTGTGTCAGTGGGGGCTTATCTCAAGGGAGGATTTAGATGCCAGCTGTCCTTGTGGTAGAGTTAAAATCCATTTCAGCTACTACTCTGGGATGCATTATCAGCAGCCACTTTTTGCATGTAATCCTGCATGTGAGAAGATGAGTTGTGTGCATCTCAAATCCTCCGGATTTCTTTGGTTATTGTTCATTTTACTTTTCTACTTGATCATGGAAAATGAATATTTGCAGAAGGGCGTCTCACTCTTTTATACTGTCTAGGACTAAATCTTAAGATAGGTTCTTTAATGCTAGGATGGAGACCTTGTGAATGTTCTATAGGAGCCATGGGTTTCTGGAAGAATTATTGCATCTTCAAGTCTTATAATTCAGAAATACAGGTCTTGACATGGGTTTAGTTAGTGTATATTGGTAAGTCAGTGTAGTTCATGACAGACAACATGGGAGCTGTATTTTTATTTAAAAGTTGCAGTGTTTAGAAGGGGTCACTACAACAAGTGATCAAGTTCTGAGGCTGATGTATCAGATCATCTTCCTAGCAGAAATGCTCTTATCTTTTTTCAGAAGCTCCTCATAATGCTGATATTAAGCATTTTATTCATTCTTGTTACTGAGAGGAAGCTGCTGAGGAGTCCCAGCTGCAGTCGGGAACAGTTCTGGTGTAAGCTTCTGAGTTGTGTGAATAGCTGCTTTCCCTTGTCTGCAGCAGCAAGCAGCAAAACAGGCAACTGCAGAAGGACATTGTAGGAGACTTTACTGGTATTTTTTTGTCTTCTGAGTGGAAAGATGCCCAAGTTACCCTAAATCAGTTCAGAGGAAACCTGATCTGGATCTGCTTGATGTTGTATTACAAGAGAAAGCTGCTTTTATTTGCATCGTACCTGCAGCACCATTTATTTTATTCATAGTAAGATTATTCAGCAGGGCTTTTTTGTTTGTTTTTTTTTGTTCTTGGGGGGTGGGGGGGGGGTGGGTTTGTTGGGGTTTTTTGTGGAGTTTTTTTTGAGTGTGTTTTTTTGTTTCGTTTTTATTTTGGTTTTTTTGTTTGTTTTTTTGGATTTGTTTTTTTTGCAAAGCCAAAACAAGAAGCTTGACTGAGGTAAAAAACTAACCAACAGCCATGCAGTAGATATCTAGATAAGATTAAAGTTGTTCATTCATCAGTCAAAGTCTGGTTTTGCAATGGAGAAGGACTGAGGAAATTCTGTAGCTGTAGGAACTGTTATAATTTTGTTTGGATTACGTCATAATGGTGTCCAGCTCAAGACTGAATGTGAAAAATGAGGACTGATAAACAGGATTAACAGTATAATCACTGTTATGTAATCTCTTGGGGTTTTTTTTTTTGTTTTGTTTTGTTTGTTTGTTTTTTAAGATGCATCATGTCCTTCCTGTTCAGTGACATTAGTAAATTTGGAAACATAATTGGTTTATGTTACTGTCCTACAATACAGCCATATTTGGGTGACCTAAATTCCACCTAGTTCTCCACTCTTGGAATATATTAGCCAGTTCTAGGCTGTGTTTCCTCCTGTTGAACTGCTTACATGACTTGTGATCAAGGTAGACTAAAGGACTTGAGTTTGCCCAGCATTCTTAAGCCCTTGCAGTAATTCCTTATACAGCTTGAGAACTAATGGGAGCTTTAAAATACAGAAATACATTATTATAAAATAAAGTTGTGTAATAATTCTGAAACCAGACTTAGGAATGCTTTACACCATAATTATCCATTTTTTCATTTGATATTTTGAAATAATTGTTGAAATATTGTTAAAACTAGGTTGAATTTTAAAATATGCTTTATAGGCTGAAGCCAGAAACACTTGAAGATGATCTTGATAAATATGCTGCAAGTGCCATGAAAATGAAGAAAGAAAAGGTTAATCTCAAAGAATTTTCAGCCTACTTGGAGTTTCCAGTTTCTCAGACATTAGAAAGTATGTTTGCACTTTTTGATGAGGTAAGAAGCAACATTAAGTTTAAAAAATTTACTACCAAAATGAAGTTTTGGTAAACTCCACTTTAGTCTAATTCTGTTTTAATTGAATTCCCTGAGGTCTGATTTCTGAGCACTTCACCTTAAAATTTGCTTACTGCACTTCCTTTTCAGAGAGGTAAAGGCACCTATCATCAGCTAAATAAAGCATTTCTTCAAGTAGAACTTAAAAGCATCATCAGCTGGACAAAAACTATCTCTTTTCTAGATGCAAAATATGAAGAGGAAGAAAGGCAGAGTAAGGCTACACCTCTGCTGCTGCTCATTGCAGCTGAATGCAGTGTCTGTTAGCTGATATTTCTTTTACCTTGTAAATAAATGACTTGTTCTTCTATGAGCCTGAAGCATGAAGGATCTTTGCAAATGAGCCAGTTTTTCGTTCCTCTGGCAATCAGTCAGAATGGGGAAACGACCATTATCTTTGTGTGGATGAGGTGCTGTCTGGACCAAGAGATGGATATGTCCTCAGTGTTCTCCCTTGGAGCAGATGTCATGTATTCAGGGCTTAAATTAGGATGCATTGTTCTCTGGTTTTAATTTCAGCCCAGTGATTCAGATTGTTTAATGGAAAAATCTTAAATACACGAGTGAAGGGTGACAGTACAGCACTGTCTTCCAGGAATATTTAAACTGTGACTTTTGACTGAGACTGTGAAAAGAATCTGCAGAGATTTCCTCCAGGTTCTTGTCCTCATGTGATTTCATTTCAGTGAGACTTTTTTTTTTTTTTTTTTGATGTGGCACATATAACAATCTTTCTGAATATTCTGCATTTTTAGCAACTGTTAGTTATTTATGAAAATTCTCAGACAAACTGCACTATTTTGAGAGGAGGTTTTCCTTCACAGAAGGAAGATGGTGTAATTGACATTCGGGAATTTGTCATTGCTCTGTCAGTTGTCTGTAAGCCATCCAAAACTCTGGAAACAATTCAGTTGGCATTTCAGGTAAGCTGCATTTTCTTGTTCCATGTAGTTTACTTATTTTTAGAAATTTTTAATACTGGCATTAGACTCAGTAGAAGTTTCCACATTTCCTTTTAAGACTTAATTACATTTTGAAACAATATTAATGGAAAGTTAGATTAAGAGTTCGTGTTAACAGAATGCATTCCAAGTGTAAGTTGTGTAAAATTATGGAAACTTGCTGTTTGAAATTGTTCTTTGTAGAACTCTGGTAGAATCCTTTTTAGCAAATTACATCTCAAACCTTAAGTCATTTGTATTGATGCATCTAAGCAAACAGTCTGTAGAGTTGTACTTACTACTCTTAGAATGTTTCAATCAAATCTAATTTTTCAAGTTAATAAAGTATTTTTTAAAATTTCCTGCATGTTAATAGAGAGATTTTTTTATCTCCTTTTTTCTTCTTGTTAAAATTTTCTTCCCTCTTAGTCTTACCATGTATGTGTGGTGGTCCTGCAGTCTTTGTCCAGACTTGATGCTTCCCAGAAGTGCTCCTGATCTTGCTCTAGCCTCAGTGGTTTGTTGTAGCATCACCATAAATTGTTAATGCAAGCTTTTTGGGAAAGTGACAGCAGCAATGCTTAACCAATGGATTTCTGACACCTTGATTTATTACTTTTAAATTAATTTTTTTAATATTCTCGTTTCAACATGTGAACTCTGCATCCTGTGTCATCTTTTCCCTTTGCCTTGAATTCACATGGTCTTCAGTGTTACTGAAACTGAGAAATGCTAAGTCTTGATGCTGTCTTCACTAGTGAATGCATGGAGCTCAGAGCATTCAGTTGCATGGTGCTACATTGCAGCCTTATTTTCTGTGTAGTTGTATTCAGGTTCTTCAGCATGACGACTTTAACTACGTTTTGCTGAAGAAATGAGGCTCCTGTGAATGCTTAGTGTTCACATGATCATTCTTACCCTTCGGCCAGAATCCAATACATTTGGCAAAGGAGGAAGGAGCAAAATATTTAGTTCCTAGAAATATTGTGGGAAATCTGCCATTAGTAGCTGCTGTTATTTATTGCTGCTTCTGAGGGAAAAGCAGAAAGAAAGGTCTCTGTCCTGACTCAGTCTGTTTCAGCTATAAAATGGCATAGAAAACAGTCAGGTGCTGTTTGGTCAGCTCTGCGTCTTCATACTAAAATGAACAAATTTGAAGTAAATGTAAAGGGGGCTTTGTAGAAATATTTTTTTAAATTTAGCTGTCATGTTTCATAGTGTGCTATATAATTTTATCATTTGAGAGGAAAAAAAGCTCAGTCTGGATGGTTATTTTCTTTCTGGAAGCACTTGAAGTTAATTAAACTGTTTCTTAGGAAAATTTCTCTTCTTCATTATCTCCTTCACTCTCCAACTCATAATACATAATTTTGATTCACTTTGTTAATTACAAAATATAATAAAGTTAGCTGTAAAACTTCAAAGAAGCTTCATGCATGTATTAAGGGGAAATACTCAGCGAGGGGAAGCAGGTATGGTTCATTTTATCCTGCTAGTGATGACTGGAAGGGTTAAGAAAAGTCTCAAGCTGAGGAAATTTTGCTTATTCTAGGATTAAAGAAAAAAGGAAGGAGAACCAAGAGAACCTTTTTTAATCCTTTCCCACCTCTTGTCCTGACTTCACATACCATAAGATATTCACACAGCTTAGCTGGCGCCATTGAAGGACCTAGCCAGTTCATGAGTGTATGACTTCGAGCAGGTGTTGTCCTCTGCCATGGGCTACTTCATTCAGGAAAAGTGCAACACTTCACATAGCTACAAATTTTCAAAGTGTTTAGTATTTGACTGTAGAACTTGAAAAATAGTATCATTATATGGAGTTGATAGAAAAATGAGGGGAGTGGGCTTCACCCATGTGAAGGCTGTGTTGCCATTCAGTGGGACCTCCCTAGGCTGGAGAGTTGGGTGAAGAGAAACCCAGTGAGGTTCAGCAAGGACCAGGGCAGGGTCCTGCACCTGGGGAGGAAAAACCCCAAGTCCCAGCCCAGGCTGGGGTTGGACAGACTGGAGAGCAGCTCTGCAGAGAAGGACCTGGGAGTCTTGGTGGGTGACAAGCTGACAATGAGCCAGCAGTGCCCTGGTGGCCAGGAGGGCCAGTGGGATCCTGGGGTGCATTGGGAAGAGCGTGGCCAGCAGGTGGAGGGAGCTGATCCTGCCCTTTGCTCGGCCCTGGTGAGGCCACATCTGGAGTGCTGTGTCCAGTCCCCAGCTCAGGGAAGACAAGGAGGTAATGGAGAGGGTCCAGTGGAGGCCACAAAGGTGATGAGGGGTCTGGAGCATCTCTCTAATGAGATGAGACTGAGGGAGCTGAGGATGTTTTAGTCTGAGAAGACTGAGAGGGGATCTCATTAATGCCTCATACCTCAAAGCTGGATGTCAGGACAATGGTGCCAAACTCTTTACAGTGATGCCCAGTGACAGAATGAGGAGCAATGGCCATATACTCAATTACAAGAAGTTCCACCTCAAGATGAAGAACTTATTTATGCTGAGGGTGGCAGAGCACTGAAACAGGCTTCCCAGGGAGGTTGTGGAGTCTCCCTTTCTGGAGACATTCCAAACACACCTGGATGCACTCCTGTGTACCCTGCTCTAGGTGTACTCTGTACCTCTTGGCAGGGGGTTTGTACTAAGAGCAGCACTCTGATGTAAGTGCTACGCCTTCCCTTCCAAACTGCTAAAGAAACTAAAGGCTGCTGTAAATCTTGTCAATATGGTGTTTATATTGACCACCTAATATTACCTGACTATTTGTTCTGTGAAAATGTAGCGGGTTTTATTAAAGAAATGTCTTGTTCTTTGCTCTATTCCTGTGAAACAGTGTGCAGATTAGGTGCCAGGGGGCAAAAGGCAAGATTCCTGATTTGAGAATGTTTTCTGCCATGGAACTTCAATATTTTTATTCTGCTGAGGTGTACTGTCTCATGGCAACAGCTTCTGCCTGTGTGAAAAATACATACTTATGCTTGTTTTGTTCAATCTTATCAGTTCCCACCTTCTTAGTGATGTAGAGAAATTAAAAGGAAGTTCCCAAAACAGCACTTTTTACATGGTTTGATATTTTCAGTGTTGTCATACTTGAAAAGGAGTCAGAAATATTTCAAAAACTCTTTCTCACTTTACATTGTACAGGCAAATTGAGTTGTTTTAAGGAAGCGTAATGAAGCTGTATTTATTTGGTACAGATGTTTTGAACTATTTAGGTCCATTTTTCAGGGTAAAACATTGTATATATGCAAAGATGGAATGAGACTATGAGCACTTATTCTTAGTTATCAATCTATCAATCTGTCACTAGTCAAGTTAACTCTTTCTGTGAGGTAACTCTTTAGGATGTAAGATTATGCAAATGATTGTTTTCTAGAATAAATACTTGTGTAAAATTATATGCCCATCACTGGTGTATGGGTTAGGATTCTCCTGATTAATAATTCTCCTGATTAGATACAGGCATTTTATGCAAGCTGGCATTTGGATTTTGGTCAAAGGAATCTTGAGTTTTACACCTGACCAAGTGGAAATGGTATCTGATTTATCCTGACCTAAATATCACAGACTGTCTTGGAGTTTAGACACGTAGCTGAATGGACTGAATATTATTCTCAGTTACATGTTTGCAAAACATGTTAATGTTTGACAGTCTTGTAACTGAATATCACAGTAATTCCAGTGGTTAGGCGTGTAAATGTAGGACTTTTTTTCTGATTATAGCAAGCTTTACTTCCTAAGCATATACAGATGAACTGATGATGATATTTTTTTTACCCAGACTAATCTAAAATCCTTAATATACCACATCAGTCTGAGAATGATTAGAATTTCTAATACCAAATTTTTATTTTGCTTTACTTCAATGTAGTGCTGTTTATAGGAGTTGGCATTCAGCTTTGCAATGATTTATCTTGCTGTCTTGATTCATAGCTGTACCAGTCAGAAGGAGGAACTGTAACAGAAGAGGATTTAGGTTGTATTCTGAAGACTGCGATGGGTGTGTCACAAATTGATGTTACACATCTTTTTAGAGCTGTAGATGAAGAAGAAAAAGGAAAGATTACATATGGTAAGTATTCTGACTGCATCTGAACTGTCACAAAGTGTCATGTTGACAAACAAAACAGTTTCTTTTTTATTAAGCTTTACCTTTTTTAGTTGGCTTGACTTCAGTACTGATACCAACACGGCAAACAAAGTAAATTTACATTTAAAAAAAAAAAGAGTTTCACCTTTGGTATCAAATGCCATGTTTGCATATTTTCAGTTTTCCTTTCCACATCAAGTCACAAAATACAAGGATTAGCTTCTTCAGCATATTCTGTTCTGTGACTCCCATGTATGTGAATGTGTGTTTTAAAGAAAGCTGCTTTAACTCTTTTTTTTTTTTTTTTTTTTTTTGGTCTCTTGTGTCTGGGAGCAGAAAAGGAGGGGTTAACCAGGCTGCCTATTCTGTAGTCTGCAATGTAGGTAGAATGGAGGTGAGAAAGTTACATTTGAAAAATTGAGACCTGGGTGAATAGATTCTGCTAGGAGTCAGAGTACTTATATGTTACTTGAGATTTTGTTTTGTGCAGTAAGGGTCCAAATTTAGTTGTATCATTTTGAGTATGAACTGAGTTGTTGATAGCCAACATACTAAGTATCTCCAGTAGAGAACATACCCTCTTCTAATTTTCCCTCAAGATAACCACTATATATTTAATTTGTAAAAATCTTACTAACACTGATATATTATTTTGTAAATCATAATTTCTACACTAGTAATTCTTCTGTTTGAATCATACAATATCTATGTAAAACTTCCAATAATCAAATATTTTAGAGTTACTGAAATCTCTGTCTTTGCCACTGTCCTTTCCTTTCTTCCTTACTGTCTTCTCTCCTTGCTTCCTGCTGTGCTACCCCTTTCCTTTCTGTGCCTCTCATCTGTCACATCCCAGCATTTGCACATCCATCCCGCCCATTGCTTTTTTCCTGCCTATCACTGTTGCTCCTCCAGCTCATAATATGCAGTGACTCAGCTCTTCCCCCACCTCCCAGTCAGCAGCTTCAAAAATACCAGCACAAATCTTAAGCTGGTAAGCACAGAATTTTAATTTTGGCACATTTCATTGTTTGAGAATAGCTAAATTTGTAGTCATGTAAAAGTGAACTCAGACCAGGTCATGTGAGTTATCAAAGAATTAATATTTTAATATTCATCTTTAATAGTTGCCTTTAATCTGCTCTTTTTCCCTAAGTGGTCGTCATATGTTCCCATCACAAGAAAATCTGGACCATTGAGCCACAGCAGTGGCCACTGGAGTGCTTGGCTCTCATTTTCACTATTTTATATCCTGTAGCCAAAACCAGTTTTTTGTGATGCAACACAAAGAAGGTAGTAGGGTAGTGTTTACACAATTTCTTTGAAACTTTTCTTAGGGCTTTTTCTGAGAAAAGTGCACATTTTATAATAGAAACATGTCATTTTAACATATCTGAAAGTTGATTAGTGAGAGTAAATGTCCAAGTTACTAGATTAGAGAATTAGAAGTTGCAAATAAATTTCTGGTATTGCATTTCTGTCTTGAAAGTTCCTGCCATAAACATTCAACTTCTTGCCTTTCCTGAGAATATGTGGAACTTCACACATGCTCAATTTGTTGCACTTACTTACTAGAAAGGAGAGATGAAAAAACTTGCAGACCACATGGTTCTGAAGATACTGTCCAGACAGGTTCTGAGAAATCAAAACATTGTATCTGGTGGAACTAACGTTACTTTGGATATTCTCAGCAGTGGTCTACTGACAATCTCCTTTCTAGAGTTCTGGAATTTAAAGCAGGAATATTAAGTTGAGTCATACTTGTGAGAACAAAAGACAAAATACCTAAAGTATCAAAGTTGAATTGCAGCACACACGGCAGAGTCCTTGAAGCCTAAAGGAAAAGCTCAGGTTGCAGGTAAACAGAATAATCAAGAGCAAAATCAAGATTGTGTAACTAGATTGGTAATTGTGAATCTGAGTTATTGGAAATCTGGATTTTTGTTGCATGATTGAAAGCACACCGGTTGCCAAAGATCTGTCTGTGTGTCAGTTCTCTCAAGCTGTGTGCAGTTGTCTTAGTTGTTCTGGTGTACTTTGGTAGCAAAGCATATCCTAATTTAGTCTAATACAGATCAAGGAAAGATTTATCAGTCTTAAAACATGGTTCTGGAGAGTTTGAATAGGTTCTCTAGGAGAGCATGTCAAATTCTAGGAAACTCCACCAGCTCTTGATAGACAATTCAGACTGTGAAAGTGTTCTGAAGATTGCATGGCTTGCTGTAGCCAGAAAAAAGGGGGAATTGGCCATATTTGGATTATTTCTATGGATGAAGAATCAGGAAAGGAAGATTTATTTGCTTAAAATAATTATATATTAACCACAGGATTATCCTATGATTTAGCTTAGTGGAAACAAAAACTAGGGAAGATTAATGAACACAGAGCTTCCAGGAAGAGCGTCAAGTAGTTAGGAGTTTCAAGAGTGGGGGAAAACTTCAAGTAGTATATACGCATACTTAATGTAAAGATGTAGGCATGAGTCTTAATTCCACTTTGGGTTCTTTCTTCCTTTGTCTCTGTTTTTAGTGGAGGTGGGAAGCAAAGTCACATTTTTTCCCCAAGTAAATGACTGAGGCGATCTTTTCCTTCAGTCTAATGCTTCACAGTTGCTTTCAGTTTGAACTCCAAGATGAGACCTGTGATTAGAAGTAATGCTGGAATAGTTGGTTCTTTCTACATCACCTTGTTTCACATTTCTGATGAATAAGGCAAATGGAATTTCAAGCACTTTTCATTGCACTCTGCTGAATACCACTTCAATTAATATTCCTTAATACTTTCAGGACTTATTTCAGCAGGACCCAAAATGTCAGGTTACTGAGATCCATCCAAAAGGTTACTCTGTTCAATTTGGATTCCCCTTTCCTCATGAAGACTTTTATCATTTATTGATCCATCAGCCTGTTGTACATAGTTTTTCACCATAGATGGTAATGTTGTTTTTCATGACTTAAACTTGATCAACTTTATTGAAGTTACAGGTCCAGAATGCTCTAGATCTGTATAAACTGAGAATAAATGATATCCACATTTTTGTGAGTGGAAGGATAAAGTAATGTTTACTGCCTTCTCCTCGCCTATCCCTTTGCAACAGTTCAGAGGCAGGATTGCCCTACAACTTCAGTGCCCTCATGAGCCATATGGCATTCCCTTGCTCCCTTGCCTTTGCAGTATTGAAAAATGATGTCATCTTAAAGAGTGGCAGAGAGGGAAAGCTGTAGTGTTTCCCTTCTTCCATACCTGCCCAGTTGTAGGAGGCACTCCTTTGAAAGGCTTTTTCAGGTGTCATCTGCTCAGTTCTCCAGGGAATTCACATCATCATCTAATCATGAGCTCTTCTGGGATAACACAGTGAATTTGAGTGGGAGGTGTGTGATACACTGTAGGTGCCTGAATTAGTGAAAACATTTGCATCCAGATTTTTCTAGTGTCAGTTTACATTATAGGAATAGCTTCTTGTTGCTTGGATTCTGTACAGTATCTTGTGTTCAAATCCTGTCTGAATAAAGTCTTGGGCAAATTGAGACCAAGTTTCAGTGTCTGATTTTCAACACAAAATGTTACTTGATGTTAAGAATTCCCCATGCCTCCAAGAACTAATCTGGCTTTTTGTATTTTCCAGTTATTATCCAACATTAAAATCAGGAGTTTTTTCCTATGTTATGAATTATCTCCTCAGTATTATTCTCTAAAATGTTAAAATGCTGAAATCTTGAAAGCAGAAGGCAGCAATGACAGTTGGTGTTAGGTTGAGACAAACTGAGTGCACAGCATTAAAGGGCATGTTTGCAAAAGAGTTTTAAGAATTTAAGAAATGACTGTTCTTGATGTTTAGCGATCTTCAGCTGGAGGGCTTCTATACTTCCCTAGTGAATAATGAAATGCTATGTCAGGGCATGTGGTACTCATCACGCATTTTAATGCAAATCTGAGCCTGTTTACCCCTTCATACAGCTAAGCTCTGGCCTGAAGTGTTTTCAGAGGGCTTAGATAACTCTTTGCAGCATCTCAGCTCTGTGGATGTGGTAAACTTATGCTGAGAAGCTAAAACAAGCACTGGGGATAGCATTATGTTAACTGCTGCTATTTTTCTCCAAAGAAATCATGTGATTATATATGTGTAACTATTCAAATTTAGCATCCTTCTGTTTCAAAGAGCTGATTCTGTGCAACAATTTTTTTTAGATGACTTCTACACATTTGCGGTGTTGCACCCACACTTTGCAGAAGAATATCTCTATGCTGATCAGATGGGAGCTGAGAGTGGCTTGGAGACTTCATCTCTTTCTGCTCCTAATGGTATCTGTACTGACTTCAGCCCTGACAGCAGTGGAGACAGAAGGAAGCCCTTGCAGAAGAAACTGAATTAACACTACAACTGTTACCTTCCTCTCCTGGTGAGAGGGTTGTATTTTCTTGGGATTTTCATAAGTCATTCCAATTATACAGCAAATACCAGTTTTGTGTGTGAAAATTCTACCTGAATACCATCCTTTGAATCATATGTGCTATATTTAACAACATGTTCCAGGTTACTTTGGGAAAGGTGTTTTTATTTTTTTTGGAAAGGTCTTTGAAAGGCAAAAATGTGAATGTGCTTCATTATTGATGTTCATATTTAAAAGGAAGCGGCACAACTTATTTATATTCCATTGGCTAGTTCCATGTACAAAGTGTCGCACAAACTGTGCATGTATAAAGAAACTGTAGCTACTATGGTGTAAAGTGCACTTTGGTGATTAGTGTTTTCCCTAGTTATGGGGATGTTTATTTGGGGCCAAACTTTGCTGTCCATATCTGAATAGCCAGTCTTGTTGATTTCGATGGGATTATTCTCTTGAGCAAGGCAAGCATACCTTTGGCCCTTTGTTTTGGTTTCAGTGAACAGTTTGGAAACTAATACAAAAACTTGCTAAGGATTACTTTTTATTTTTATTGCTGAATGACAAAATTGTTTCTCTTTCCATGGTAGAATGAAAAGGAAAGGCTTATTATCCCTCACCCCACACTTTTCTACTGTAATCTTCCGGATGCAATTAAACGTGAATTCTTTCCAAACTGACATGCCACATACTGTTTGAAAATACATAATTGAACTGTTTGTGCTTTTCTCTTACAACCAATTCAAATCAGGTCCATACAGCATTTTATGGGAGATGTTTACAGAGCTATATTTGATTTAGATGTATCAGGAATCACAAGTTCCTTTTGTAGCAGGCCTGTACAAATAACATACATGAAAGTTTTCATGATATATTCCATGCTATCAGCACAAGTTGGAAAAGGTTGCAGTCAGTTCAGGGGCCAATCCAGCAACAAGTTGCAGAACATCCTGAAGAAATGCTAGTTAAATCTCTATAGCAACATTACATGTACTTCATAGAACATATAAAATAGAACTGTTAAAAAAAAAAACCACCACACTTGTATTAGTAATATTTATGGTTCCTTTTGTAAAGCCAGATGCCTTAACTGCTACTGGGGGTCTCAGAGAAAAATCTAGATTATTATAAAGCCACAGAGATTCATTGATTAGGAAATGGGACAAAAGCCTCAGAGTAGGAAGGAGGACTCTCACAGCATAACTGTGATGGCAGCTCTGCTTCCAAACAAAAAAATCTTTTGAGTCATTTCTGACTAGTTTTGTAGGGTTTTGTGCATGGAAAACTATTTAGATTTGAGTCTTCCACAAAGGAATTAAAAACTAGATTTGAAAGGGAAGAATTTTGGTAAAGGACATCTGTTTGTACAAAATGCTTTTATAACTATTTTTTAAATAGCAGGAGGTGTTTTAAAGCTCATTAGGGCATTGGAATGTGTCCTTAGAAACCCCGAACTGTATGTGGCACATCTCCAAACCAGAACTGGCTTTAATGAAGAGGGAAAGAGGAAAAAATGTAAGAAAATATGCTTTATGGAGGTATGTGGAGGTAATAACTAAATTTTTGATTTATCTAGGTAAAAAAAGCAAAGCTCACAGGGCAGCAGCAGACTGGCTAGCAAGATTTGAATTAAAACTGATCATGAAAAATAGGAGAAATTGATTGAATAAATAAGGCATATGAGAAACTACACTTAAGTAGGAAGAGTCAGATGCACAGGGGGGAGTAAGTATTACTGTGCTATATCTTGAGATGGGGATTGCACAGAATATGTCAAACTGAGCACTGTTAACTCTTTGCTACAGAAAAGATACTCATGATGGAGGGAGGCATCAGCATGTGGCCTGTGAGAAGCAGGGTGGTATTTCTGTGTTACCAAGATGTGATCAGGTCTTACCTGAGGTACCTGTTCATATGGGGACACCTGAGAGAGATGAGGTGTAACTGAATAAAGTCTGGAGGATAGAAAGCACTCGAAAAGAGATCAAAAGTATCCTTTAATCCAAAGAAGAAGAGGCTGAAGGAAGATGTGAACAGTCTTCAAATAAGGAAAAAGTTGCTATAGGGAAAATAGGAACATTCTTCTCCACAAGGATGGTAGATGCTGGCTATTAATTGAAAAGGCAAGTTAAACGTTAGTCTCTTACAATACACCTTGTTAAGCTAAGGAGAAGGGTTATTTCCGGTGCAGTGAAAAGCCTGCCTTCCTTCACTGGAGCTTTTGAAAACAGAAAAGACAGCTCCAATAGAGACACTTGATTTTGTTGATCATGCTCCAGGGTTACAGCGAGATGTCCCTGAGGTTTGTTTTCTGTAATTATACAGTATGTAAGGGAAGGCAGGTGTAGTCTGGACATCTTGTAGAGACAAGACTATGGCACGTGGCTCAAGCTAGCTGTATAAGATAGTTATCTTTTGCTTTGGATGTGAGCTTGGGAATTTGAGAATTTCAGAATGCAGGGAAGGAAAGAGAGCTCCCCAACACATACCTGAAAAGAAGAAACAGGTAAGCTTAGAATCTCGTGGACAACTCTGAAGTGAGAGAAGCTCCAGAGGAAGAGATAACATTGATCACATCTGTGAAAGAGCAAGGAAAGCTGATTGAAGTTTGCTGAATACAAGTGTGTCTAATTTGCACGTATGGTGTGAGTAACTTGGGGGGGTCTGTCTCGTAAAAGCTCATAGGTTCATTGACTTCTTTTTTTTTAATTTGTATTTGTGAGGTGTTTTGTAATTGTGGTGAGTGTAACAGCTGTACTTTGTGTGCACCTAAGCTGTGCAGAGTGCATTGAAGGGCGCTGCAGCCTCTAGTAGGGCTTTAAGGGCTAGTCCCTTAAACAGGCACCAGCCACACTGTGTGGTGAAGAGGCACTGAAAGTCTTGTGCACCAGTGAGCTCAGTCCAGAGCTGCTGCTGGAGAAGGCCGGTGACCAACACAAGTCACAAGCAAGTACTCTTGGTGGATTAAAACTAATTTAAAAATTGGTGGATTAAATAATTAAAATTTAAAAAAACAAAAAAAAAACCAGATTCTGGAAGGAAATGTGATTCTCTCTCTTTTGAGAAATTACTGAATGAGATAAAGACATAATAGGAGGAATGATAAGATGAAGGATCAGCCTGCATGGAAGCATTGTTAATCACACACCATGTCATGAAAGTTGAGATTAATTAATATAATTCCATTAATTTTAGCATTTGTAGTATATAATACTAGACTGCCTCATAGCGAGAGAGAAGCCACATTACCACAGGGTGGTGAACTCAGGCTCCTGAGGGCTGAGGCCTGGAACACATCCTATGACTGTAGCAATACTCCTTAAAACTCATCCATCAAACCCCACCTGCAGAAGTGTTTCAGTAGTTGCAGATGAGAAGCCTTTCTAGAGGCATCTGACTGTGGAGCAGCTGGGTTGTGACAGTCAAGTTTCAGTGACTTGATGCAAAATCAGAGTAGAAGTGAAAACTTCCTTCCCTCTTCACCAATATTGAAATGTAAATGCTTTCAATTAAAATATTACTGATTTTATAGGCAGATTGTTATATTTTAACAGGTAGTATCAAAACCCCCTAAATTTACAAGGAGACATATGCAGAAATTATTTTGGTCCTTTGCAACTATTTAACTTACGCTTACACAAAAAATGCAGGGGTGTGAAGGCATTTGACATTTCTGATGAGCATTTTTGTACTCTTATGTAACACTGCCATCCCTTGCCAGTAGAGTTCTTGCATCAACCTGAATTTTTACATATTGTATGAGATACCCAGCCAAGGCTGCTTCTCTTCTGCTGGGTATCTCTTCTCATATGCCTAAACAAGTATTTAAAGTTACCTAGAAAACCACAAAATGCAAAATATTTGAAGCTTAGGGGAGATCGATTTGGTTTTTTTGTTTTTTTTTTATTTACATTTTTTCAAACATAATGAAACCCCACTAAAACCAAATAAATGCTTAGTAGGTGCAAAGCATATTTAAACCACTGTTTCTGGAACAGTATGGTGTTATTACAGATTTTTGGGGGAGTCTGTTGCAAACACTGTATAGGAAATTTATAAGCCTTATGGAGAAATTAGGCTGTACACTTAGTTTTATAGTTATTAATTACACTATATGTTTTGATGCGTTTATTGTAGCTAGAATGATCGAGGTGTGATAAATAGCAACCAGGTGTGTGTGTGTTTGCTAATCCCATTTTCAAAGTATAAATCCTTAGGTCACAGGGGTTGAAAAGGACACGTGTGCAGTAGGGAAGTGATGCGATGTCTTTAGTGGCACAGCTGCCAGAAGTAAATAGCTACGTGTCACACAGAGCTCTTTATTAACATCTTCATACAAGCTGAATACCTTTGTTAGCTAGTTAAGGCATTGGGGTGATTGGAGTATTTCTGTATTCATAAAATGCAGTAAACATTTTCCTGGAAGTCATTGTTGCACTTTAACATCTGATAAATTCTTAAAGCAGGTGTGGTTTTATTTATTTATGAGTTCCCTGATATGGCAATACCAAAGACGAACATTAAATTATTCTTTCTACTTTTATATTACCATGTGGTAACTATAGCTTCTCATATTAACTGCTCTCTGCTCCTTCAAAAATAGCATTCTCATTGAAGGATAAATAAAAAAAGACTTGAAAAATTTTAAAGAAACAAAACCTGCCCCGACTTAAAAAATACTAATTGCAGAACTCTGGTAGCATGTGCTGTAGATTCTGATCTCAGAAAAAGAAAACCTGTAAGCACAGCTTTGCATATGTTACAGGACTAAGCTAGGCTGGAGAAAAAACAAAATTCTGATTAAAGTTCTGACCAACTGAGTTCAATGTTTCTTTAGGTCATTGTGGGTCATAAGACTTTATGAAATGTTGCATTTTTCTTAATGTGAAGTCTCTGGTTTTTCCTCTAGCAGAGCTTTCATGAGTGCTCTAGAAATAGGAAATGACAAATATGCTGGCCAAGAGTTCTACATGAGGAATTCAAATTTGGCTCCTAAAACCATATCGAGGCATGAAAGTCCCCTGTGAACCAGACACTTCAAAGAGTTTGCTACTTTTTAGGTATCTGAACTTCAGCTGGTTAGGAAAACTTAAATTAACAACTTATTCTGAATAGATCATTACCTAAAAAAAGGAAGAATGCAAAACAGAAAGAAAGAGTTATCATCAGTGCTGTTGATAATTAATTACTAATTAATTAAATTATTAATTGATCAGTCCAGCAAAACTGCAAGGTCTGTTTCACATATGAGCAGAAAGGCTGACATGTTCATTCAGGTAATTTTGCTATCCTGACTAGGTAGAATTTAAGCCAGGTGGTCTTCACTCAGAGGGTGGTATCTTGAAGGTACTGCCAGTAATATCTTCGTCACTGGCAATGTAGACAGATTTCATCTCACCCTGCCTTTTTTCTTTGAGTTATCGAGAAAAACCATTGAAACCATGACAGGAACCCTGTAAGATCTTAAGAGGTAAAAACTCTCTAACACCACCTCGGAGGCACAAAGGTGATCATTCTGTGGAATAGTTATGGTGGTGAACTGAGTATACAATGCTGGTCAACACCTTGTGGTCAAACCACGTATAAGTGGTTAATGCTGAGGTAAAACTACTAAGAGAACACAGCAGCAAACAGGGCATTCTTTAGGTGTGCTTGGACTTGGGTCTCTGAGTATTTCCTGCATCTCATAGTGCTCAAGTCAAGACAGTTTCTTTCTCTA